GTTTGAGTTTTGTGCACATCCATCACTGTGCGGTTTGGCTCATCCACAGAACAGGACAAGTCCAGACTGCAACGAACAATCAGGTCTGCAGAGAGGATCATCGGGGTTGACCTTCCCTCAATCCAGGACTTGTACAGGGTTAGGGTGAGGAAAAGGTCTGGTGACATCTCTGCAGACCCCACACACCCTGGATACAAACCGTTCAGACTTTTACCTTCAGGCTGGTGCTACAGAGCGCTAATTGGAAAAACCAGTCGCCACAGAGACTCTTTCTTCCCACAGGCGATCTCTGATGAACTCAATAAACACCAGGACTACTATCACGTGACTCTGTCACATGGTCATGGTGTTTAACCTGCTTTTTTTCCCTTCAATGTATTTTAAAAAGCCGTATATACTAATGCATGCACGTTTCTTTTATCCTCTAAGACTATACAAGTTATACGTGATGTCTGTATGCCGTGAGCGCTGAAGCCAAAGTCACATTCCTTGTCTGTGCACACAAACATGGCCAATGAAAGTAATTCTGACTGAGAAGAGCTCAGCTCCATCAGGGTTTTCTTTCTCCTTCTGGATGTTTCCCTAAATAACGACGTCCTTACCAGGTCTGTGAGTTTTAGCAGGTTAGCTGTGGTGCCATCATCTTTGTGTTTCCTCATAATGGAGTTAATGAAGCTCGGTGGCAAGATCAGGGTTCTGGGATTTCTTTTACAACCCAACCCTGTAAACTTATCCACACCTTTGTCTCTGACCAGTATGGAGAGTTCCTTGGCCTTCATGATGTCCCTTGCTTGGTGGCAGCCCTCACTACTTAGTGTTGGACTGATGAGCAGGTGTTTTATTTACATCATTTGACACTTAAATCGCTCACAGGTGACTTATTGAACTATGTGGCTTCTGAAGGCAAAGCAATGGGACTGAACACATTTGTGCAATGCACCAATTTTTTATTTCTAAATTATTTTAAACGAGTTCAACCCCATTTAATCGCATTAATCTGGTGTATTTTAGGAGAATTACTGCTTTAAATTCAATTATGTTCCAGGTTGTAGAGCAACAGAATAGAAAAAATATCAAAAGGGATGAAAAATGTTGCCATTAACCTCATAAAGAGGCAAAAATATGACTTATCAGATCATCACAGTTCTGACCATCAACAGAATATAACATTCCTGAAATGTATAATCTGCAGTGACTTCAGTGTCCTTTAATAAGTGCATGAGGTCACTCTGAAACTGCAACTGACCACCGACTGAAACTACTTCTGTTTTTCTGTTTCCTCTGATGTTTTCCCTCCCTGACAGGAGACCAGACCAGAACGTCCCCCCACAGTTTCACAGGGAGGAGCTCGGTGCCAAACTGGGCAGAGGAGGAACTCAAGGTACATCTGACGCCGCGTTATAATTCATTAGATTGTGGGTTTAATCTGTTCAGCAAACAAAGAAATGCACACTGAAGCATCGCAAATCAATAATCCACATTGAACAGAGCTTGAATCAGTCAACTTGACGCTGAAGGTGTTGCTCTGAATCTAAAAATTAACTCTGGTTATGCCACATTGATGTCATCACCGTTATCTCACCATCAGCTTCACGCTCGCAGCGTTTAATCTGGATTCGTCAGATTTTTCAGGGGAGGCAAAGGCAGCTGCTGTCGAGTGGCGTTAAGACAAGAAAAATCAAGTGTTTCCAGAGTTTCTGGTGTTTCTGGTGTTTCTGGTGTTTCTGGAATTTCGTGCTTCAGCTCTTTTGTCTTTAACCGCTTCTTTTTTATGGTGACTCATGTGTTGTTCCCAGAATTGACTGATTGCAATACAAATAGAGCTCGGGCCTTTATAAACACATACTAGAAACTACATGTTTCTGTGGGGTAAATTGTCAGAATGGCCACAGTTCAGTAATTACATTATCTGCAGCATCTTTCTTGCTGAGATCACTTCGTTGGGATGGACTCACTGCAAAATGTACACTAAAATATAAATTTGATCATTTAAATAAACACTGAAGGGGAAAATAAAGTCAAAGTTTCTTTATTTGTCAAACGTGTCATGTGGTATATGTGGTGGAACGAAATTGTGTACACAGGGTCCCAGTTACATTCAACAAAAGTATGAATTGTAAAAGTAAAACAGTAATAAGATCTAAGATATGAACTAAGAAAAACTTTAAACTAAAAATACGCTAAGCACTAGTACAAAAACAATATGCAGAACAGCAGCAAATAAGATCCTTGAACTAAAAGAACTCATTCCACTGTGCTTGAATGATCCTAAATGGTCACATAATGGCCGACACAGAGCTCTTGCACTTCACATTGGTGAATTTCTTTTTGTCTTGCGTTTTATTTAACAACTTAGAAATAAAATGTGCAAATGATACACTTAATGGGCACCCTCTTTGGAGCTCTGCAACTCAGACTTCACAGTAGAAACATCATTCAAAGTATAAACAGGTCATGGAAAGTTGGACTTTACTGGTCTGAACTGGCACTTTGATATATGTTATGGGTTTTGCACAATCACAGTTTAAGTTTTATTATTTTCCCTTTTTTTTTTTAACCTGTCGACGATGTCACACTAACTTTTAAGCCGTTTGATTTTTGTAAACGAAGTCTTCTTACTCCAATAACTCTTTCTGGTACATGTACAAACTATGCAACAAATCGTGGGGGGGGTTGTCTTCTTTCACCAGTTGTGTCTTCGACTGCTTTAGGATCAACATTTTTTTTTTCTCAAATCCCCCCAGAATGCAGAGTTCACAGCCAAGCTTCAAAAGAGCTGTATTTTAGCTCATAATATTCTCATTAAAACTGGAAGGCTCTTTTCTTTTCATGTGCTCTCTCCACTTCATTCTGGTAATTTAAGCTTCTTTCTGATTTTTTTTAGCTACTATTCAGCTGTTTTTCCACAAATTTCTGCCTTTTGAGATAATTTCCTTGTGCTAATTTTGCTTCATTAGGTCTAATTGGGCCCAATTGTGCTCTTTCTACTTCCTTTTGGTAATATAAGCTTATTGCTCCTTTTTTAGCTACTATTCAGCTGTTATTTTTTATGTGGAATTTTCTGCTTTTTTCCACTTTTTTGTGCTCATTTCTGATCTTTAAGCCTAAATGGGCACAACTGTGCTCTTTTCATTTCCCGCTGGTAATTTGAGCTTCTTTCAGCATTTTTAGCTACTGGTTTTTTTTTTTTTTTTTTGCAAATGTATGTTGTTTGTGTTTTTTCAGATAATTTCCATTTATTTGTTCTTGTTTCTGCTTCTTTAAGTCTAATTGGGCACAATTGTGCTCTCGCTCCTTCTGGTAACTTAGGCTTCTGTCTGCATTTTTAGCCACTTTTCAGCTGTTTTTTTGCTAGCTGTTTTTTAGCTAGTTCTTCAATAAGCACTCACACTACATTTTCGCAGGAAATACAATTTCTCTAGTTAATCATATCTCATTCATGAAACACTCAGATCGTCTGAGACTTCTGCCGCTCACAGTTTAAAAGTTTTAAGATCTGACTTGTAGTTTTTGCACAGTGACTGTTTGTTTGAGCCTTATTTTCTGTCTGTCTCTCATTAACTGAGGCCTGTGGTTACCATGGAGACCACAAAGGTTGTGACTTTATCTTTTCTTTACACCTTGGTTGTTTTTTAACTTGTACAGTTCACACATTAAAAAAAGGCAACTTTTCTGAATTTGGGATGGATTTTTTGAGCCGCATGCAGTGAAACTCGTTAGTTCGGTTTGTAATTTTATAGTAAATAAATAAAAACAACCAAATTATGTTTTTCTGACGGGTCAAAACACGTGCAACTGGAGACAGAGGTCATTGAAAACTTGGGAAAACACAAAAAATGTGAGTCAGAGGTTGTTACCGTGAAAAGAAGACAAAATGTTTGAATAAATAATGATCCTGATAATGCCGTAAAGACCGTGGAAAAAAATAATGTATACGGTGAGAAAACACTTGCTCATATTGATGGTCAATGTATACCTAAATTCAAAATATTTTTAAAAACAGGCGATTGCTTCCATCCATGTGTGCGTTGTTTACAGAAACAGCTGAAGTGACTAAAATGGTAATATAATAAATAAGTCAATTGGGATCAATGAATGAACCATTTTGATGTATTGATGTGTATTCATGCTCAGATCTGTTGAGTGAAGTATGCAGATTAAAGCACTTTGTTTGCATTAAGCACGTATTTCAGAATTACATATCAGCATCAGATGTCACTCAGGTTTAATCTTTTTCTTTTAGGCACATTTAAATATTCATAAAGTCAACTATGGGGTAAAAACAAAAAAAGGTTTGTTCCAAGATCTTTGTTGCTTTCCAGATTTTAGTCTGGTCCCATCACCTCTCATTTCCCTGCCTGGTGAGTGGAGGAGGCCAGCACCTCCTCCTCCTCGTCCATCCCTGCCAGGAGCTGGATGGTAGGGCTCGGCTTCCTGCTACAAGGAGGAACGGATGCGCCTGGATACCCAAATATGGAGCGGCCTGGCTCAGTTCGGATTGCGTAAGTCATCTATAAAATATCTCCCTGATCCGCTGGAACCGCTGCCTCACTTCTTTAAGAGCCTCAACTAAGCTGGAGGGTCACCTGAAGCCCTCTGAGGCTGCAGTGCTTTTCAAACCACCTTAAACAGATTTAAAATTATTAAAAATAAATAAATAAACTTTAGTGTTCCGATGAGTTCTGCTTCACCTGGACTGAGTTTCCTCAGGCACCGAGAAGGCCCGGTCTTGTTTACGTTCGCTCTTACCGGCAACGACGTCATCGTGTGACATGCTGGAGGCGGGGCGCGCAGCGGGGAGCAGCCAATCAGCGCGCTGCGCCCTGACAGATGTTATAAGCGAGCGGAGCGCGGCGGCTGCTGGTAATAAGGAAACCGCCTGACAGGGGAAGAAACCGCGCACGAGAGGATTGAAAACACCTGAATTAATCTCTGGACCCCGCTTTGAATTCGACTAAAGGTACAAACCGACGACTTGGTACAGTACAGTTCCACTATTTTGGAAGTTTTTTTTCTGTTTTTTTTTTCTTAGCTGTAACCCTGCTGGACTTTGCGCTGCGGCTCCTCCGGGACACTGAGGAGCGTCTCGGTGTCTCTTGTGTTTGACTGTCTTGATTTGAATTATGTCCACAATAATGGAACAGCCTTTTTATGACGACTCGTTTCTCTCTGCTTATGGCCACCCAGGCGCAGCGCTGCCGGACTACAAGCTGCTAAAGCAGAATATGAACTTGAACTTCTCCGATTCTTATCGGAACCCGAACTTCAAGGCTCTGCGCGCCGACGCAGACTTCTACGCGGCGGGGCCCGCGGCGGACGTGGGCTCGCTGAAGCTCGCCTCCCCTGAGCTCGAGCGCCTGATCATCCAGAACAGCAACGGGGTCATCACTACGACACCCACACCTGCGCAGTACCTGTACGGCCGCGGGATCACCGAGGAGCAGGAGTGCTTCGCGGAAGGCTTCGTGAAAGCTTTGGACGACCTGCACAAGATGAACCAGATGGCGCCTCCGAACGTGTCCATCGGCACCGCCGGGGTGGCCTGTGCGCCCCCGTCGGTGTACGGCGCGTCCGTGCAGCCGGAGCCGCTCGAGTACACCACCCTGAGCAGCTGCACCGCGAACCCGAACCTGGCCTCAGCAGCCAACTACCCCTCCACCACCATCAGCTACCTGCCCCACCACCACCACCAGTACCACCAGCACCCGCAGGCCGTTGCGCACGGGTCCCATCACTTCCAGCACTCCCTGGCCGGAGCCGGGTTCCACTCGCAGCGGTTCGGGGGCCTGAAAGAGGAGCCTCAGACTGTGCCCGACATGCAGAGCAGCGACAACGGCTCCCCGCCCATGTCCCCCATCGACCTGGAGAACCAGGAGCGCATCAAGGCGGAGCGCAAGCGGCTGCGGAACCGGCTGGCGGCGTCCAAGTGCCGGAGGCGCAAAATGGAGCGCATCGCGCGCCTGGAGGACAAGGTGAAGGTGCTGAAAACGGACAACGCCGGACTGTCGAACACCGCCTCCCTGCTGCGGGAACAGGTGGCCCAACTCAAACAGAAAGTCATGACGCACGTGAGCAGTGGCTGCCAGCTCATGTTAGCGCCCAAAGTCAAGTCCTACTGAAGAGATGAAGCACTTTTTTTAATACAAACACTGGACCCGAACTGGACTGAAAACACCAAACGGTCTTCATGGCTGTGTGTGAGAACTGAACCAGAATCTGGAAGAAGAAAAAAAACAGTCTGCACAAAATAATAATAATAATACAAAAGACTACAACACTTGGACATTTTTGAAGTTTTAAAAGCGGCTTTGCCTGTTTACATTTTTTTGTTGTTGCCGTTTGTGCTTTTTATGTAAGTTATTTCTGTCATTTGAGCCTGTTTTTTTGCTACTTGTACAGTTAATATTTAAGTAAATGAAATTAAAAGTGTTTTCTAAAAAAAAAAAAGTTTTAAAATGTGTTTTTGGGAATTCTGGTCGTAGTTCTCGTAAACATGACCGCACTGTTGGTCTCTGATCAGAAGTTGTTAAACGTTAAAACGTCCCAGCGCAGGATTTCCCCCACACCCCACTTTCGACGTACGTGACGTCAGGCCATATATGGTAAACGCTGCCGGCTGACGTCATATCGCGAGCAAGGTTTCCGGGAACTCCTTCCTACGCTGCCAGTCAGAGGAGCAGCGCCGCGCGCTCCCCTTCCACCACAACCAGGTTTGTCAATGAGTGGTTTGTTTGGAGGGAAGGGAGTTTCCCTCAGTATCTGCTTTCAGTTTCCCAAAACAAGACAGAAAAACAAAAAGTTCCAAGTAAACAGACGGTCTTAAAACAACAGGCGGAAAGAAGGCGTCGAAACAAAACGGAGGTAAAAGTAAAAGTTGTGTTTAGTAGCATTGGGCTGAGCGTATCTGATAACTGTCAAAATACACAAAGGGCTGAAATGAAATCTGCTGAAGCTGAAACAAAGTTCTTACAGCAGCTAAACTACGGTGGCCCTGAGGTTTAAAACACGTTTGAAAAATCACAACCGCAAAACGGTGAAAGGTACAAAAGGGCTCAAAAGCTAGAAAAACAGCTAAAAGGCTAGCCAAAACTTGAAGTAGCAAGAGGAGCTACAGCTAGCTAAATCTAACAAAAGGGTAGCAGAGACTAATGTAAGAAAAGGCTGTCTAAAAGGAAGCTGAAACCTAGATGTACTAAAGTATAATGCTAAATGTAAAATTTTTTTTTCATTCGACCTTTATGCAGGTTAGTCTCACCGAGTCATGAGGACTCATTTACAAGAGACCTGTTTTTGGCAGACAGCATATAAAATAGAGACATCAAACTAATGTACAGTAAAAATGCAATTAAAATAAAAGTAGCGTTATAAAACAATAAATCAAGGTGCCATATAAAACTAGGTAAAACACTAAAAACAAGAACGTATTTGCTTTGACGTTTCTATTGACCTTAAATGATTAAAATCCCCTAAAGAAATTGAGGTGGACAGCTTCAGTTCATGTTGTAAGGTGCTCCAGAGTAAGAAAAGGCCTTTTTGTCAAGTTCAATCCGCACCGAGGACACGCTGCAGGTAATGATGTCCTGAGAGTGCACGCTGTAGCTGCATTGATGTGACATGTAGGAGATAAGGCAGCAGACCAGAGGGATTTATAGATGAAAATGAACCAGTGTCAGAGCCTACGTGCAGTTAATGACTGACCTAAAATGTTAGCTAAAAGAAATGTATAAGACTAGATATGCAACAAACAGGAACAAAAATCTAAATGAACAACAAGATAGATAAAAGATAATGTAGTAAATCCATCTAAAAATGTAGCAAAAGGCTACATTTACAAGAAAAGAAACGCTAAAGCAGCAAAACGCTAGCTAAAAGCGAAATGTAACCTTATTAGGCTGGCTAAAAGTAGAAAACCCAATGTAAAAACAGCTAAATGTTAGCTAAAACTGGCTAGCTAGAAGTAGTAAAAGCTAGAATTTAAAAATTGTTGCATGGTGGGTAAAAGCTATGAAATGCTAGATAACAGCTAAAGGTGACAGTCAAAAGTCAGAGCTGCTGAATGTTTGGATTCATGAATGGCTGAAGTGATTGCTAAAAGTGTATAAACTTGAAAACATGTGCATGTTGTAAATATTCATACTCAAGACTGAAGTTTGCAATTTATGTAAAACAACATTAAATGGTTGTGAAAGCAGATTATTATAGAACCTGTCTTTATAAAATACTTGCATATTCCAAGTGTTCCTAAAGCCACAGACTGCAGGATTTTATTCAAGCTGCAAAAGTAAAACATTAAAGTGACATTTCAGACATTTTTTTGCAAAAAGAACAAAACGAGCTCCTAAAAGTTTAATACGTCATCGATGGGCTCAAACCTGTAAAACGAGATCATCTGTATTTAAATTACCCACAGAGGCTAAACTGTCCTCATCAGTGTAACATTAAAATGTAAGAAGCCTTTAATTCCTTGAAAACTCTACGCCCATCTTTTATCATCAGCACAAACCCTCATTTGTAGGTAAATTTTACAAACATAATCCAATTTTATAAAATTTTAATTTAGAAATAAATTAATCTTTATACTCGCAGACCTGGAAAACACTAAAACGCGATGCGTCGAGACTGCAGGAACCCTCCACAGTTTTAGTTTAGTGAAATAGAAAACCAAAATCCAAGTGTAAGCCGTGATAATTCAGGTTAGAGCGATAAATATCCATAAATAGGACAGCTACAAGTCTAAATAAACATTTTATCCAATCTTTCCCAATGAGACTCTGCCGTTTGGCAAAAACAAGTTGTGAGTCAACAAACCACAATAACTCCGACGTTAGGCAAGACTTTGCAGCTTTGTGACGTTCTCAGATCTTCAGCCAGGCGGGCAAGGAAAAAAAAAAAAAAAAAGCCAAAGCTGCTCAAATAAATCAGTTCCAACATCTTTTTGGGAATATCCTTAAAATTCAGATTAGCGGCTCAAACGAATGGTTTTGTTGGATTACACTGCCACCTACAGGTCATTAATGGAACGACACCTGCTTCATTCAACAAAGACACTAGTTTTAATTTCAACAAAGACACTAGTTTTAATTTTCCCAGTTTTATTAAAGATGGTAGCAAATCATTAGTGTCAGCAAGGAAAAAAATACTTTCTCTGAACAAATCTAAACTTTCAGTGCTCGAGACTTAGAGGTTTGTCCCACCAACGTACAAAGATAAGCATCTGTTGACGAGGATCTCTAGAGGAATTTAACAGGTTTAGAGAGGACGCAGCGAGATACCGCTTCACAGGGAGGGGGGAGACACGTCTCATATGAAGTGCTGAGCTCGGGACACGAGCTGGACCGAAGACCTTCACGTTTACTGCTTGGAGAAGAACTCTTTGCTCTTTGCTACGTCAGGGACGATGGTGTCGCTCCCAGGTTTCCAGCCGGCGGGGCACACTGTGACGAGAAGGACAAGGTTCGTCTGAGCCGCCATTCAAAGCCCATAAACTTTATACTGTCTAAGAACAAAGTCCACATGTGAGTGCCCAGAAGGATAAACCTGTAACCAAGACTGCTTTAGAAGTGGTTATTTACTTTTAAATTTGAGAATGACTTGTAAAATGTTATGTCTTTGACAAATTCCTGAGCTTCATTACCACATAAAGACCCGACTTGTGTCCATAACCGAGCCTGTGCACGCTTGTTGACTTAACGGTTAAATGGTTACGTCATTATCTTTGTCTTATTAAAGAAAAGACTCACCAAGAAATGTCCATTTGAATTTCCAGAAGTGATCATTTTTACATATAATGTGAAAATAGCCAGCTTATTTTAACACCATTACAATTTCTATTAAATTAGATTTTGAGCCCGGAAACTATTTTTAGACGCTGTACAGGAACCAGGTTCAACATTTTGACATTTTTGATCTGTGAGATGTTTGAATAAAGTGTGCATGCACAGAATTAAGCCACCAACTTTAAATGTTTTGCTCCTTTGTATTTTTTTAAAGTGAGCAAAGGTTCAAGGATTATCTGAAGGTCATTCAAAGCTCGACAGCTGCAGCTTCATTACACCCGACTGACCTGCCTCTGCCAAACCTGAAGACATTCTGAGTAAGTTGCTCAATTATTTAAATCAGGTGTGTTGAAGCAGGGAGGCAGCCAAGTGGGCCACAAGGACCAGGGTTGGAGACCTCTGGTGAACAAGAATAGTGGCTCAAGATTGAACCCTTAATTATTCAAAACAAAACAAAAAATGCATCACAGAGAAACAAAAAGAAGCAGAATCTTTCTAAATAAAATGGCTCATAATACAAATTTACCTCCTCGTTCAGCTCCTGGTTTCTTGTCCATTTCTGGATTGATTTTAAAGATTTTATTTCTCACTTAAGTTTTAACACATCTGGCTCCATCATGCTTTTGTGATCTCCTTAACGTGTACTGCAAAAACCGACATCTACCACTAGACTCGGCAACAAATACCGCTACTACAGGTCCTTCTCAAAAAATTAGCATATTGTGATAAAGGTCATTATTTTCCATAATGTAATGATAAAAATGAAACTTTCATATATTTCAGATTCATTGCACACCAACTGAAATACTTCAGGTCTTTAATTGTTTTAATACTGATGATTATGGCATACAGCTCATGAAAACCAAAAATGCCTGTCCCAAAAAATTAGCATATCATGAAAAGGTTCTCTAAACAAGCTATTAACCTAACCATCTGAATCAACGACGTAACTCTAAACACCTGCAAAAGATTCCTGAGGCTTTTAAAAACTCCCAGCCTTGTTCATTACTCAAAACCGCAATCATGGGTAAGACTGCCGACCTGACTGCTGTCCAGAAGGCCATCATTGACACCCTCAAGCAAGAGGGTAAGACACAGAAAGAAATTGCTGAACAAATAGGCTGTTCCCAGAGTGCTGTATCAAGGCACCTCAGTGGGAAGTCTGTGGGAAGAGAAAAGTGTGGCAGAAAACGCTGCACAACGAGAAGAGGTGACCGGACCCTGAGGGGGATTGTGGAGAAGGGCCGATTCCAGACCTTGGGGGACCTGCGGAAGTAGTGGACTGAGTCTGGAGTAGAAACATCCAGAGTCACCGTGCACAGGCGTGTGCAGGAAATGGGCTACAGGTGCTGCATTCCCCAGGTCAAGCCACTTTTGAACCAGAAACAGCGGCAGAAGCGCCTGACCTGGGCTACAGAGAAGCAGCACTGGACTGTTGCTCAGTGGTCCAAAGTACTTTTTTCAGATGAAAGCAAATTTTGCATGTCATTCAGAAATCAAGGTGCCAGAGTCTGGAGGAAGACTGGGGAGAAGGAAATGCCAAAATGCCAGAAGTCCAGTGTGAAGCACCCACAGTCAGTGATGGTCTGGGGTGCCATGTCATCTGCTGGTGTTGGTCCACTGTGTTTTATCAAGGACAGGGTCAATGCAGCTAGCTATCAGGAGATTTTGGAGCACTTCATGCTTCCATCTGCTGAAAAGCTTTATGGAGATGAAGATTTCATTTTTCAGCACGACCTGGCACCTGCTCACAGTGCCAAAACCACTGGTAAATTGTTTACTGACCATGGTATTACAGTGCTCAATTGGCCTGCCAACTCTCCTGACCTGAACCCCATAGAGAACCTGTGGGATATTGTGAAGAGAAAGTTGAGAGGCACAAGACCCAACACTCTGGATGAGCTTAAGGCCGCTATCGAAGCATCCTGGGCCTCCATAACACCTCAGCAGTGCCACAGGCTGATTGCCTCCATGCCACGCCGCATTGAAGCAGTCATTCATGCAAAAGGATTCCCGACCAAGTATTGAGTGCATAACTGAACATGATTATTTGAAGGTTGGCGTTTTTTGTATTAAAAACACTTGTCTTTCATTGGTGGGATGAAATATGCTAATTTTTTGGGACATGCATTTTGGGTTTTCATGAGCTGTATGCCATAATCATCAGTATTAAAACAATTAAAGACCTGAAATATTTCAGTTGGTGTGCGATGAATCTGAAATATATGAAAGTTTCATTTTTATCATTACATTATGGAAAATAATGACCTTTATCACAATATGCTCATTTTTTGAGAAGGACCTGTAAATCTGTGCTCAGTTGTGCTGTGGAAATGTTCACAAAAGCTAAAAGTTTAATTTCGTGTGGAACATTTAGTCGTGCCACTTCAACCGGCGTTTCCTCACCTTCTCCGTATTTGTCAGTGTGCTGGAAGGCCTGAACCAGACGCAGGGTCTCGTCCACAGAGCGACCCACGGGCAAGTCGTTGATGGTGATCTGCCTCAAGATGCCCTTGTCATCAATCACAAACAGACCCCTGAGAGCCCCCCCGAAATAAATTAGATAAGATCAGATCCAGTCATTAGACAGTGACCAACAGCCTTACAAAGATCTAACGGACCTGTATGCAATGCCTTCATCCTCCTTCAACACACCGTAGTCTCTGGCGATAGACTTTGAGAGGTCTGCAACCAGGGGGATCTTCATGTTACCCAGACCTCCTTGTTTCCTTGGTGTGTTGATCCTGAAGGCAAAAACAGAACTTGAGTATTAAATAAAAACTATTTACAGGCCAGAAACGATTAAAATAAAGCTCTAGTGTGCTACAGCTCAAGAACTTAGTTTCTGATTCATTTCAAATGATGGCTCTTGACAGAATGTTGTCCTGCTGAGTCAAAAACATTTAATATGAAGACAACCCTGGTTTTCAGAGCCCGCTGTCTGCACATTTGTGACGTTATCCTGTCAGACACCCGAATCTAATTAAATTACTTAGAATCAAAAGCTTGTCAGGGACCCACTTATAAAACAGAAAAAAAAAAAAAAAAAGTGTTCTGAAGCAGGTGTTAAAATAAAAAAAACAGGACTCCTCACACATTTATTGAGGAGGGAACAAACCGACCCAGAGGCCGCTAGTTCATTTATCACCACCTCGCAGAGAGCCGGCGTGGCAGGAGATAAACTGGGGTGGGTGCTGCTTTTAAAGTTGCCAGAATCTTCAACTGTGGACATTCTGATGCAACATTTATCATTTTCAAACCTTCCAAGTAACCTGCTTCATTCAACCTAAATAAAAGGTTGAATGAATTAACTTGCTTTAAATAAAAAAAGAGCTTAACACAGTCTACACAGCAGCTGTGATGTCATGCAAGAGTTAAGTTTCTCAGAATACTCCACAAGTCAGATATCCCCCTGAACACAAGCAAACTATGAAAATAATCCAGTAATCCCACCTGCTGACCGATCAGTTTAAAAGCACCGGAGACTTTTTTTCCTGCCAGTAGAAATTCTTACCACGCCAAATGGCTGAAGTGGGAGTCGATGGAGCAGCCGATGACCTCGCAGCCAATACGACGAAACTCCTCTGCTCTGTCGCTGAAAGCGATGATCTCAGTCGGGCACACGAAGGTGAAGTCCAAGGGGTAGAAGAAGAAAATCAAATACTTTCCTGAAACATACAGAGAGGGGGGGAAAAAGGGTCAGGATTCGTTGAAATACCAAACATATAAAAATGAATAAACAAATCCTTGATTTGAGTCAAACTGTTGCAAAACAAAACACACAGGAATACCTTTATAGTCTGACAGCTTGATTTCCTTGAACTGCCCATCAACCACAGCGGTGGCCTTAAATTCTGGGGCGGGCTTGCCGATCTGAGCGTTTCCAGATGACATGTTTGCGGTGCACACCTGAGGGAGATACAGCTCAAATATTCAGCTCAGACTAATTAAAAATTAAAAAAAAGTATGGATAAGTCAAATGGGTGGAAACGTAAACCATTTGTGCAAATATTTAAAAAAAAAAGACCCAGTTTAACAAAGAAAAACCAAATAAACTTGACAAATCTTTGTAGAGCTAAATGCTCAAAAGTACTTGTTCACCCTTAAATGGTCACATGCAAGTCATGATCCACCAGCAGGGAACAAAGGCCTGTTAGGCAGATTACATAATTAGCCCAAACCCTCAGAGGTTCTTTATGAAAAATGCACGTTTGAAATTATGATCTGCTGCTGATTTAGCATGCATATATACATTATAGATATTAAGTGCTAAACTGAAGTACTGACTCGTTCCTTTTTCACTGGGATGCACTGCAAAGTGCTTCAATAAATGTGTAGCTTTGAATGCAAATATGACTTCTGGCCTGCAACCTGCGACCCTTGGTTGAGGTTTTCAGTCACTCAGCTAATCGCTGGTCAAAGTTCAACAGGGTTGTAAACGGCGTTACATTAAACTTAATGCAACTAAAATTTAGGATTTAGAAACAAACCAGGAACCAACGCGGACTCGGGCTCCCAGGAAAGTGGCCCACAGGAACAAAGAGTCAAACACTTGAAGAAAGATGAGCTAACCGCACACACAGCCTAGCTAACATCTCGTTAGCTTAATCTAATAAATTGGTTCTTTTTTGTTTAATATCACCAAAACACACTCTGTTCGAGCTGTGCGAGCACACGGCTAAAAATAAAATGTTGCACTTTTCCTCTTTTTCTACTAACCTGTGTTGCGAAAAGCCTTAAAGAACTTGGCTGCGGAAGTCTGCGACTGTCAGGAGAAGAGGGACGAGAAGGAGGGTTCAAGCGCAAGAAGTACCCTCAGGTAGCTGCCGTCCCGGAAGTGCAGATTGAACACTTCAAAGTAAAAGCTAGCTAGATATAATGTAATAAACATTGAAACACAAAACGAGGGATACTAAGAGTTTAATAATTAAATAATACATTTAATTGTTATGCTTGTATTATGTATTTATTTCATTTTGTCACATTCCGTCCTCCATACAAACACACCCATTAATTTATTGAAGCTGTACAAACTGAATCCTGCCCATCACAGCTGAGATGAGTTAAGCAACCTTATGCTAAGATTTAATTATTTATACATTTATTTATTTATTTATGAGCATTGCAAAGTCTGACAATGGTGTGACACCTTTTCCTGTATAGACTAGTAGCAACTTTAGCTCAGGAAGAAAATTACAGTATTTGTAAACACTCAAGCAGACAGAGTCATCAAGCTTATTTAATTTAATTTTGTTTAACTTAAAGTATATGCCCTAACAAAATGGTCACATTTACTGTATATGTCCCAGGATATCCTTGTAAAAGAGATTAATAATCTCAATAGATTTCTTTCCTGGTAAAATAAAAGTTTAAATAAAAATATAAAAGCGTCTATGAATCTTATGGTATCCATATTATTAAACAACAAATGCGCACACATGATAAATTGTTTTTTTATTCAATACTGTATACAGTTTTTAGTGGATTACCAGTTCCTTAAAAAAAAAGCCTTCGTCACCATGAGACGCATTTAAATACGAATCCGCTTTTATTTTGACAAACAGTAGCGTCAGAAGAAAAACACGCCGCGCTATTTCCGCTTAGCCTTGTGGGTTGGAGACCGCTGCACAGAAGCAGGCTTTTTTAACGTTTCTTTAGTAAAAGAAATTTCATTACTGTAAGTAAATGTTTCACGTGTATTTATTCTCGAATGGTCAAAATATATTAGTTTGCTGAAGTTTTTCTGAAATGCGACGCGCCGAGAGTATCACGCGGTTAATGGTAGCGTTTGGAATAAAAACAAAAAGAAGCCAAGTTAGCTTTAACTTAGTAAATTAGTCGGTGCATTATACTGCTACATCATAGTTAACGTGCGATGAGCGGAGTTGGAATGTGGATTTTATTACAAGGCGATAAATATTTAAAATCTTAACAGTTGTAAAGATATTTTTTTCTACGAGCGGCTGTTATCGCGATATTTCGGTGTTCTCGCGATATGCGCTTAATTCTCAAACTTAGTGTTTCCGTCAGATTTTTACTAGGTTTAATGGTTTATAAACATTGTAGTTTGCGTTAGACATGGTGTTAATTACCCTGTGATGTTTATTTGCTTGCAGATTTTGCAGGAAAACAACCTGTTTCAGCTAAATAAACACCAGCACAGTGACATTTTTCCATGCACATGGACTCACAAGGTTCGTATAACACATAACTTAAACTGCATATAATTACATTTGACTAAAAGGGTTTTTAGTATACATAATTGTTCTCGTTTATCTAATTTTGTTTGCAAATGTGGATGAATTTTAATATAATTTTGTTGAATATATTTTAGAGCCAACCCTATTGCAGTCAGACACATAAGTGACTATAACGCAGCCAATTTGACAGATATTAAGAGAAAATTTAGTGTTGTAGTAGCCAATACTCATAATTGATTAACTAATTCTGCTTGAAACTTTTGGATCAACCCAACTCAAGAACTCGTTCTCCTCAAACAGAGATTCTCACGTTTGGAAACATTTGTGTTGATCAGTTTTTGTTTTCCTGTTAGACTATAAGCCTCGTCCTCATTGGATTCCTTGACTCTGATTTAAGTTTTTCCTTTCGTTTTCTATTAACAATGTTCAGTATGAACCCATCCACAGCAAACTCCGAGCCAGTCATTTGTGAGGTCTGCGGGGCATACTTTGAGAACAGAAGAGGCCTCTCCAGCCATGCTCGCCTCCACCTCCGCCAGCTCGGTATAACGTTCACAGAAAACAGCGGGTCTCCCATAGAGCTGCTCTACCAGCTCATAGAAGAGAAAGACGGCTCTGCCGAGGTTTCAGAACTTAACGACTCTGCTTCTGCGTCGACTCCTCCCAAAAAGGCTGATGGCCAGTTGGAGTCCAAGACGTCACCAGTGCAGGAAGACTTTACTTCTTTCTCCAAGTCGGGGGGGAGAGTCTTATCAAAGCTGCAAAAGAGTGATCATCAGGAATCTCCATCCATGCTGAAAGAGCAGGGAGTAAATCTTCTCCCCTCATCTCCTTCTTCTCTGATGCCACATGAAGGCAGCAGCTCTTCATTTTCAAATCAACAAACCAAGCCGCTGTGGGCGCCTTTGGAAACCGATGCTCCAATCACTTTAGGTACGTTAAACCTTCTCCATCTCACTCTGTCCTCTGCATCCTCGGTCCGCACTCCAACTACCTCCATGTCCTCTCTAACTGCATCCATATTTCTCTTGTTTGTCGTTTTCCTGGCAGCTAAATTCTAACATCCTTCTACCAGTATACCCACTCCTTGACATGTCCAAACCATCTCAGTCTGGTCTCTCTAACTTTATCTCCCAGTTGTTCAACCTGTGCTGTACCTCTGATGATCTCATTCCTTGTCACTCCTAAGGAGAACCTCAACATCTCCATTTCTGCCACTTCCAGTTCTTTCTCCAGTCTTTTTGTCAATGCATTAATTTTTACAACCCCGATTCTGACAAAGTTGGGAGGCTGCATTAAATGTAAATAAGAACAGAAATCAATGATATGACAATGTCCTAAACTCATATTTTATTCACGTTGGAACATAGTAAATTTGTACAACTCTTATTTAAAAAATGTTTTAAAATGTGACAATAGAAGGCTGTAAAAGGGCATGGTGCACATAAAAAACAGCTGGAGGAGAATTTTGCAACTGATTTAATTGGTAACCAGTCAGTAAGAGGACTGGGTATAAAAAGAGCATTTTAGAGAGGCTGAGTCTTTTAGAAATAAAGATAAGCCGGTCTGTGGAAAACTGTCTGAAAATAGTTGGAACAATTTCAGAATAATGTTGCTCATCAGCAAATTGAAAGTGTGTTTTAATATCCTGTCATGTACAGTTTGTAACATCGTCAAAAGATGTGAAGAATCTGGAGAGAGCTCTGAGCTCAGGACAGGCTCACGGTGGTAAACATGACCTCTCAACATTTTAGAGAGACATGTTGCTGCTGTAAAGTTCAATATTAATTTATTTTCAAAAACTATACAATTGGGTTCAATATTTTGTGCATATACTACGTTCCACTGTAAATTAAATGTGTTTTTTATGAGTCGTCAATCATCTCATTCTTGTTTTGTTTTTTAAATTTATTTACATTTTACACCACGTCCCAACCTTCAGGGTTGTATCATTTTGTACTTGTTTGTGTTTTATTACAGCTTCTGTCGCCAGTGATGAGGTCCATGTTTGTGAGCTTTGTGGCTCCTGGTACGAGACCCGAAAGGGTCTGTCGAGTCACGCTCGTGCCCATCTCCGGCAGATTGGAATCCCCGACAGCGAGATCAAAAGCAGCCCGATTGAATATCTTTATCAGATCATGAAGGAACAGGACTTGAAGCCCATCAGCGCCGAGCGACAGGAAGAGCTTAAACCCACCAGCCCCTCTAAATCTTCCTCCAAACGTCTCTTCGGTGTTTTGTCTTCTCCAGCTTCTACGCCCAGCAAACGGCCCAAAACATCTGCGGACTTCACCTGCGTTCTGTGCGGGGAGGAGTTTGAGAATCGAAAAGGTCTGGGCAGCCACGCGCGCTCCCACCTGCGCCATATCGGAGTGAGCGACTTGGTGGGGAAAAGCTCCGCCATCGGCGCTGTGGAGGAGCTGGTCAGCAGCGGTATGTTAGAACCCGTACGCCTACCCACACTGAACAGTGCAGCCAGTTCCTCCACGGCACCAGCTTCGCCTGCTGCCCCTGGGAAGCAATCCAAGGCTTCGTTTTCGCCCGTGTGCCTCTCACCGAGTCCTACGAGTTCTCATTCTCACCCGCTTTTAAACAAGGCGCCAAAGGCTAAGAAAGGATTTCGGCTGGCGGTGGACCCCCTTCTCAGAAAACCAAAGCCCGAGCCCGTAGAAACGGAGGTTTTTATTCAACCAAAGCCGTCCAGCAGCGACAGCAGCTCTTCTATGCAGAAAGTTTCTACAGCTCCCATTTCCAAAAAGCCTTCTAACGCAGGTAAAGCCGCTCATGGCGGTTTGTGTTTGGTTCTTTTTACATTTATTCGTTTGTGGATGTGCACCAAAGTTTATAATGCTCCACAGATGTCCTGTCTCCACCAACAGTCCTTTGTGACTTCTGTGGTCAGCTGTTCGATACCCGCAAAGCTCTGTCGTGCCACGTCCGCGCCCATCTGAGGCATCTCGGTGTCACGTGGTCGATTAGGACATCTCCGATCGATCTCCTCAAATCGGTCATGTCGCAAGGTGAGGAGAGGAAAGAGCCGGCGCGCAGCAGGTCGTCGGCAGCAGGCAAAGCACCGTGGAGCACTCAAGGCTCCAGGAGATCTCGGAGCAGCCTCCCGCCTCAGGAAAGAGCTTCCAACTCCAACGCAGGGCCCGTTGATTATTCCATGAAAGATAAATCTCCATCTAAGGCTGCGGGCTCAAACCTCGGTAAGTCAAGCTGGGTTTTAAACATGGAACGTGTGAAAACGTCAAACTACGACCCATGCAGGTCCTTTAAAAGATCCAAATGTTGGGGTCCGTTTAAATGTGAAGGACTTCAGCTCTGAGTCGGTACAAGCAAACGTAACCATAGCAACAAATGTGGTTGTTTACAACTGAAATCAGTCGGTGGTTTCAGTTTTAAAACTAAATTGTTTAGACTTTTCTAAACTACTTAGGTCTCAGTCAAGGCTCACGACAACGTACAGACTGTGGGAGGAAACAAACCCTGTTGGTTTTTTCTAAATGTCATTGCTGATTTTGGACAAAGTTGTAGCTACTTGATAAAAAGACACGAAGCCTGTGTCCACTGGACAGTTGTTATTTAGAAAGATCATAATTAAGTATTTACTGTGTTTGAGCAGATCTGAACAGAATTAAACAAAACACCTGATGTGAAACGAGTTGTCTACAAATCGCAACATCCGACTGCTGTACTGCCTCTGCCAAGCTGGTAGCTTATATCTTAGGTAGAGGTGGTTTGTCTTGTCTGTCTGTTTGTGATATAGTTATGAACAGATTTTCAGGAAACTATGAGTTCATCATAAAGAACAAATTATTACATTTTGGTGATCTGGATCAAGGTCCGGATCCAGGAATTTCTTAAAAGATCTTTCTGTCTGTGTAGGCTGTTACTGCATGAGTGACCCTATAGCAGGGGTGCACAAACTTTTTCAGCATGCGAGCTACTTTTAAAATGTTTAAATCAAAGTGAGCTATAAGGCCCCATTTACACGAGAACAACCTGTGGAAACGTTAGTGGTTTTTCGATATTTATTGGGGTAATAAACAAAAAATTAGTGGTTTACACGAAAAACGCTGTAGTTTCCATGTCGGTCAGGTTGGCAGATAAGAAATTATGAACTATAGTACTGTCGCTTTAAAATGATAGTATTTTGACCTAAACGTCATATGTGCTGAGTAAAGATATTCTAAGATGAGGTGTGTGTTGTGTTTGTTGAACATGTGCACAGAAAAGGAGTGGGTAATAAGACATTTTAAATTTATCTGGCAACCCAGTTACGTCCAAACTGATGAGTACACTAACGTCTCTTTGGACCCTGGATTTTATTAGTTGTGCTCCTACATGCTGAAAAAAGGTGAGTAGAACAAAACCCACTTTGCTCTCTGTCATTTATTAAAACTGTTGTTAGTGCAGAAAACCTTTGGACTGCAGCCGCCTGTAGTGCACATGTGCAACTTCACACTTGTGGAGAGTTCACAACTCCATGGGGGGGTTCCCCCGAAATGAGGGCTGTTGTCGTGTAAGTGAACGGCTGAACCGCAGCAGAAAGGCTGTGGTTTCATGTTGCGTAAACAGGGCCTCAGACTGGCTGCCCTCAATGTCCGTCAAGTGACAAATTTTATAGATGGACGATGGGCTGATGTCTATTTTTTAAATGTCATGCGATCGACCGGTAGATCACGATCGACATGTTGGGCACCCCTGCCCTATAGCGTCTCGGCGTAGGCGTGCGCTCTCCTAATGCATCTAGTTAATTTATGTTATGAATATTGACAGTGTTGTTTTTAAAACTCCATCGGACACTTACCTAATGATCAGTTCTGTCTGACTCATGTCCTTCCAGCTGGTGAATTAAAAACGTGAAGGCTTGTTAAGTTCTGTGAGCGTTTGATTCTCGTCTTCTTTTGCTTTGTAGACGTCTGCACTACACTAATCTCATTTGTCCAGCTCAGCGTTAAGGATCAGCTAAAGTTAGTTACAAGGGGCAAATTCTAAAAAAAGGTTCTGTGACCATCAAGACCACTTGTTTTTATTCATTTATTGTTTTTACTAGGGGTGCACCAATAAATCGGCCCCGATTTCCTTAATTTTGGGTGATCGGCCGATACTTGCATGAGAAACTGATTTTACCGATTTTTTTTGTATTTTTAACAACAATTGTCTAAACTTCATTTATATTTCAGAGCACTACCTCATGACCAGTTAAAACAAGTTTGCATTGTTTCTAGGATATAGTTCAATGGTATGTTTTTCAACAAAATAATATTGGAAAATTGAAGGTGCATTGTGACCTTATAACACCTCACAGTGTCGCTTATAAAACAAAATCGGAATCGGCAGGTCAGACTTTTTAGAAATCGGTGATCGGCCATAAAACTGCAATCGTTGCACCCCTAGTTCTTACCTGGTTGTTGTCAAGTTGTTTCCTCATAAAGCTCTTCCAGTTGGGGGTGTTTTTCTGACAAACCTACAAACAAAGAAAAAACAAAGAGGAAAACAGCTTGTAGCATCTATTTCTGTTTTCATAGTTTTATTTTGAAAGGATTACAAAGTGGAAACTGTTGTCATGGGTGAGCTCAGCTTTATTGCAATAATACGTGCATTCCCCTTCACGTTGGTACATTTGACTATAAAAAGAAGGAACATAAAGCCTTCTGGCTAGCAGAACTAGCAGCAGCAGATGTTTCTGCACCTGAAGCCTCTGTTTCCTTAGAGGGGTTTTAAGTTCATTTAATTCCACCGCAGATCCAAACTGCGTTTTTTTTATTTTGTTTGTTTGTTTACGCAAAACAAGAAGCAGTCCTAAATTATAAACGTGTAATGGAGATTATTGCTCGTTAAGACCTGCTTTGAATCATTTCCTGCATGAGTGCAGGACAAAATAAGCTTCTTTCCTGTAGCTGAAGGCGTGGGGAGTTCAGAGCTTGAAGCTGCACGATGTCGGGATCGATGTCATTGCTTGGATACGGTTACTTCCATGTCGTAAAAGTTGAATGAAATGTCTCATGACTATTCAAACAGGATTAGACACGTTCAGACTGGCATAATGTGGTTTAATATCAAGAGCAATCTCATTTAAACACAGAAAAGTGGAGACCAACTAAGGACGTTTCAAACTACGGATTACAAAAATGCTGCTGATTGAAGTTACCAACATGAAAATTATGAAACTGGGTGAACCGATAAATACGTGACTCGTGTTCCTGCTCACGGCAGAGGCTTCCTGCGATCTTTGTGGGTTCGACTTTGAAAACCGCAAAGCGTTGGCCAGCCACGCTCGGGCCCACCTCCGGCAGCTGGGCATCTTTGAATGGAGGGCGGACGGAGTCAGATCGCCCATCGAGCTCCTCAGCGAGCTGATCCGACGAGACCCAAACAAGGTGGCCGAAATAACCAGACGCTATCGATTTGGAGACCTGTACATCAAGAAGGTGATCGTTTGATTCTGCTTCAGGTAGTCCGGTAAAATCTACGGAGTACTTTTCTAACTGCTGTTTGTTTTTCCCCGTTAGTCCCAGAGATCTGCTGCTTTGAGGTCTCCGTCCACAGATTCCGACAGCGTGCCCAGCAGCAGCCAGAAGGCGTCCCTGCAGCATCACCAGCACAAAGCCAGCAGGATGGACCACAGCGTGCGCACATCAAGGGGTCAGGAATGACACGTGACAAAACAAAACGGGAAAGAAATGCAAGTAAATGACCCTTTGTGTTCCTCTGTGTCAGGAGTCCACGCACCACAGCACGGGGTGTCCTCGGGGGATGAAAAAACCCGGCATCCACCGCGGTCCGGAAGCATCCCGGCACTGCTGCCAAAGCCTCCTCTGACCCCTCTGGTCAAACTGGTGGGGAAAATGTACTCCCTCAAGTGCAGGTGAGTCGAGAAACAACCACGACGGTTGTATTTGGCAACGTTTCTTAGTTTATCAAAGTTCACGCTCAATAATCCAGGTAAAAAAATCCAACAAAGTTCACTCGGGTCATCTGGACGGCTTCTTTTTTTGTTGCGATGTTTTGTCCTTCATCCAAAGAACTTCATCAGTCCAAGGAGCCACAAACAAACTCAGTCCCACAAGCGGCACACTCGCATAGTGGACCAACTAGTTTGCTGGTGATGAGATGGTTTCTGTGATCTGCCCTCTCCCCCGTTGATTCCTCTGAGGCAGCCAAAGCCAAAGAAGTTCATGCTCAATAATCCAGGTGGAAAATCTTACAAAGTTAAGTCAGGGTCCTCTGGACGGTTTCTTTCTTTGTTGAGACGTTTCGTCCTTCATCCAAAGGACTTCATCAGGTCCACTTTGGCTATACAGATGCAGATATTCTTTGTCATTCGCATCACATGTGGTACATGTGGTGGAACAAGATTATGTACACAGGGTCCCAGTTAAATCCAACACTAAAATATAAAAGAAAAACAGTAACAAGATCTATGGCTGCCTCAGAGGAGTCGACAGGGGAGAGGGCAGGCCCCAGAAACCATCTTATCACCAGCAAACTGGGTGGTCCACTATGAGTGTGCTGATTGTGGGACTGAACTTGTTGTGGCTTCTCGGACTGATGAAGTCCTTTGGATGAAGGATGAAGCGTCTCAACAAAAAAAGAAACCACCCAGATGATCTGACTTAACTTTGTTGGATTTCTTAGTTTGACAGTGGAATGTTAGCTGAGGGATGAAGCTACAGTCACACTGCAGGTCTCAAAACTCAAATCTGAGCTCTTTTTTTTTTTACTCATTGAATTTTTTTTGGCGTAGTCGGGAGCAATGTACTAAAAGTAATCAAATATCGATCCCATCGCGTTGGTATCGATACGGTCCGACACCAACGTTGGGATATGTTGCTGTAGATTCTCACTCATTCAGGACATGGGGAATGAATTAAAAAGATGAAGCAGCTGGACTTCTGTAGCTGAAGTCGTGAGGATTTGAAGCTTTAAACTGTGTCATGTTGGTGTCGATACTTGGGTTGATCCACAGACGTGACCGTGCAGACCAAGGTCGCTTTGAAAAGTATCAGATATGGTTCCCACTTAGTACCACATGTGAAAAAGACCTGGGTCAGATGTGAAAAATAATCGGATTTGTCACGTTCAGACTGTCATAAAAAATCCCATATGGGCAATAAAAAAATTGATTTGGGACGCTTCTGCATCCGGTGTGGACCGGTGCTACAGACCAAAATTAATATTTGATATTTTAAGCTGAATGGCGATCGATATTTTTAAATATCAAGGTATCGCTCAGCCCTAGCCAAAGTTTTTTTTTTTTTTTTTTTTTTTCTCACCAGATGCTGCAAATTCTAGTCTTGTCAGATTCTAGATCCGAGTCGAAGGCACGGAAGGAGGCGGGTGATAAGCATTCCTCTAAGGAAAACATGACTATTTTTCAGGTTCAGTTTCCTCCCGTTTGTCTGTTTGCTGTTCAGGTTCTGTGAAGAAGTGTTTCACGGACCTCTGTCTGTTCAAGAGAAGTGGATCTCCCACCTGCAGAAACACATCCTGTCTCTGGGCTACAAAGGCAAAGAGGCTCCTGCTGCTGCCGCTCCAGATGTTCCCGCTCCTCCCGCTCCTCCTGCTGCTCCTGCACTCGTTCATCCTGTAGCTGTTTAGTTCAGTATTCGCCCTGAGCAGCGCCGTCGGATTCAAGCGTCATAGTCCACAAAGATGACCTTAAGAGTTAAAAAAAATTAAAAGAAGTCGTTCTCTTTTAAACCTTTAGAGGGCAAACATGAGCTGCTCACTGTAATCCACTCAGGAAAAATCCACTTGTTTCACAAGAATATCAAATATCCTTATATTTTTCATGTTTTCTATGTTAATTATAGTTTAGCTACAATGAAAAATCACATTTTTAATGTTCCTCACTGTTTGAGCTAGTTTATCCGTCAGTAATTTGGTGTTTTTATGCATTTATTTGAATTGTTTTAATGTGTCGGATTTAATTTTCTCATCCAAAAGT